ATAACATCAATAATTCCACAATCCTTAGAACAATAATTCTACAATCCTTGGATGATTAAACAAGACTTGATCACTACTTATTAATATATATATATATATATATATATATATATTTGTATCCTAAGAGTTTAATCAAATACTCTTCTTTTTTACTTAAGTTCTTGATTAGAACTTTGGACATTGAGAGTTTGTAACCAAATTGAATTGTTTAAAAAGAATTTTCTAACAAAATAAGGTCTAAATTATATAGCATCAAATTTGCCTAGAAAATCTAGTCTCCTAATATCTTGTAAAAAGATCAACATGTTAAGTCTAAGGATTCTAATCTTGTGTCATTTATCAAAGGCAATTTTTCTTCTTTTCTAAATTTCCTTTGTATATTGAATACTTTGTCTTTTGGCCTCATTAAGACCTTTTAATCATTTGAGCCTATCAATTAAAGATTCTTCAGTTAACAATCTTTTGTGAAGGCAATATAAAACTAAAACAAAGGAAGTGGACTAAAACAAAATGCCTTCTATGCCATAAACCAAGGAGAATGAAGTTGCTTAGGTTTTCACCTTAAATATCATCCTATAAGCCTACAAGGCTACAAGAAGTTTTCTGTCCCAATTTTGTTTAGATGTTATCACTAGTTTTTTTAATATATTAATTAAAATTTGATTGAGTCATTTCATGTGTCTATTGATTTGAAGTTGATAAGAAAGAATCATCTTATGATCAATTTTAAATTATGAGATCAAATCTTCTATCATTTCATTCAATTTTTTTTATATTTTATATTTTTTATTTTATTACTAATCAGGTTTTTTGGACATCCAAATCTAGTGATAATTTATTTGTAAAAGAATTTGGTGGCTTGCTTGCCATTGTTGGCTTTAACTACCTTTGTTTTAGTCCACTTCATCAAGTATTTGGTTGCTACCACTCTGTATTTCATCCCTCTTTTGAAATTGGAATAAACCACTCTAGTATAATCAATTATCTATTTTTCTAAGAGAACTAAAAGTAGGTATACATGAAGAAACAAGTTCATCCTTAAGTCATTCTTTGTATACTATTGACATGTATTACAAGTTTTAGCATATCTATATATATATCTTAAAACAATGTGGATCCATAATAATCCATTCTAAAGATTTTCTACCTAGTTAGAGTTTTCAAAAAGTGACTCCGACATACATTATTGTGACATATTAATAGAATAGTAGGAATTTTTTTGTCCATCATATACCTCCTAAATATCTCATTGACTCCACATTTATATAATTTATCTCCAATTATTACAAAGTGTCTACTATTAATTCTCATCTTTTTATATTTCATTTTAAAAAAATGAAAAAGAAGGGTTTGGATTGTCAAAAATTTAATAATTAATTCATATCAAGTGAAAGTGGTTGAAAAAACAAATAATCCTTTATCTATCAAGGTATCATCAATTAGAGCTTCACCAATTTTTTTTGATAACCTAGATAAATAATTTGTTTGCTTGTGCATCTTTCTAGACTTATATTCTATCTTATAATTAAATTCATCTATTAGAAGCATCCACCTTATAATTATACTACTTAAATATGCCTTCTCAATAAGATATTTGATTGTCATATGGTCTACAAAAAATACTATTAGATTTAAGAGAAGGTAATGCCTAAACTTCTTGACAAAAAAAAACCATGGCAAAGTATTTTTGTTTCATGGTAGTGTAATTCTTTTTAGTAAGTTTTAATTTTTTACAAGCAAAGGCTATAGAATAGTCCTTGCCTTTTTTTCCATTTGCTTGACATAAGGTGCTTCCTACTACCACCAATAAAGCATCATAAAGTATATGGAAGGATAATGATTAACTAAGTGGTCTTAAGACAAAAAAAGTTCTAAGTTTTTCTTCAAGGATATCAAATACCTCTTTGCATTTTTTTCCTACTAAAACTTCACTTCTTTTTTTATTAGTCAAGTTATAGGTATAGAAAGTGTAGCACAGTCTTGTATGACTTTTCAATATTATCTAATATGTCATAAGGTTCTTTATATTTCTTTTACTATTGAAGGATGACTTATTTCCACAATTACCTTGACCTTATCTGAGTTGGATTTCCTATCCATTTTTGATATTACATATTTTAGTAAGTCTTTTCTTTTAATTGCTAAAAATATTTTGTCAAGGTTCAAAGCTATCCTAATTTTTTTACACCTTTAAAGACTAATCTTTATACAATCATGATATATTATCTTAGTGGATTGGATGCTATAATCATGAATAAATATAGTCATTAATTTGTATAATAGATCTCAGAAGATATACATTATTAGTCTTTGAAATGCCACATGAACATTTCAAAGTTCAAAAGGCATAACCATATTCATAAAGGTATCTCAAGATGTAATAAAAGTAGTTTTATGGTAGTTTTCTTTAGCAATAGATATTTGATTGTATTTCAAATATTCATCTATAAATATATAAAGTTCATGACTTGCTACTTCTTCTAAAATGATATTAATAAATGGAAAAGAAAAATTATCCTTTTAAGTCCATTTGTTAAGTTTTCTATAGTCTATGCACACTTAAAGTTTTTTATTCTTCTTTTTACTAATATCATAGGTGAAATCCAATCCATAATCTCTATAAGTTGAATAAACTTGGCTTCGAGGACTTTTTCTAATTTTGTATTGGAAATTAATTGAAGTTTGGGATTCATTCTTGTTTCTTTTTGTCTCACAAGAATTGAATTGGAAAGGAAAAAGATTCTATGTTACACTACTTCTGGAAGTATATCCTTAAGATCTTTGTAAGACTATGCAAATTTATCCATATTGTCCATAATTAAAGACTTGTAACTTTTCAACTCATCCTTTGTCAATTTAATCTTTACTTTAATAAATTTTGGATTCTCATTTTTTAATAATATATTTATTAATATATAGTAAAGATTGTACATATGAGATTGTTCTATAGAGCCTCTATATCAATTGTTTGAGATTTATGGATAGATAGCCACATCATTTTCAGTTGTAAGACCACTAAAAGTTTGTTTGAAGTATAAGAGGGGATTATAGTCAATTTCATCAATTATGTCCTCTAATTCTTGACTTTGAGTACCATCAAAGTTTACCTCAAAGATGTCTTTAATTTTTATGTCATCCACTAATGTTGCTAAATCTATCTCTACTTCATTGTTTTGCTACGTATCAAAATCATTAACAAAGTTGATATTTATTGCTTCATCTACATTTGAAATAGGATGTTTTGCTAATCACTAGATGAATTTTCCATCAACTTCCTAATTATATAATCTATGGCTTATGCAATTGAGTTGGATAGGTTTGACTATCTCAAATTGAGCCAACTCATTTTCAACTAAATTGACAAATCTTATTTTATTCTTCAATTCACCTTTAGATTAATGAATGTGAATTTCATCATTATCAAAAATGGTAGAAACTCTTTCTGGTGGTAATCCTTGGAATTAAATGATAATCCTTATAAGATTTTTTGGAGGACAATAAATGATATGGGATTTTTTCCACTTCAATTAATTTTACTTCAAGTGCCTTTAGTCAAGGTCTACTTAATAGAAATGGATAAGAATTCTTATTCAAATGCATATAAGTAATAGAGAAAGTAAAGAAATATTCTTCATCATCCATTAGCATCCTACATCCACTAATTTGGCCGAGGAAGATGTCTTGGCTTTGATTGTCTACATTAATTATATAAAAAGAAGGACTAGTAATTCTAAGGTCCAACTTTATTGTCGTTTGTATGGGCATTATATTTAATCCACTACTTCCATCTACAATCATGTAAGAGATAATCTTATCAATTATTAAGATCTCCAATTTAATTATTTTGACTTTCTATGCCCTTTGAATTATTTTTACATAGATTTGGATCTTTTTGTTAGACCTTTGATATCTTTTAATAAACAAGCCTATTTTAAAAACTCTTCTTATTATTAGATACATCTCCAATAATTGAGCAATAATTATATCTACTTTCATCTTGTTCAAGTCTTTCCAAAAATCATATGACTCTCTTTGATCTTCTTATTTTAAGGAAATTAAAATACCACATTCTAGTTTTTGGATCCTAAGACCTTTTCACTCTTCTGTAGAAGGAAATTCCTCTACAAAGATTTTTTTTCCTTATTATCTTGATTTTTGGAATGGTTTCTAAATTATAAAGAAATTATCTTAATTTTCTCATATTATCTATTGAATTTTTTGTGGCTTTATTTAAATTAGAGAAGTAAGAAGAATCTTTTGAACTATTCTTACTAACTATTAAAGTCAAAGACAAATGGCTAGTATATCTAAACTTTGTCATAACTACCAATATTGGCATATTAAGAAGCCTTTTATCCTTATTAGGAACTTCTTTATGGGAGATGTAATGTATGTATAAAGATGACAATTGGTCTTAAATGGATTGAGAACCTTGTTCTTTAATTGGCATTTCCGAATAATTAATATCTTATAATTTTTTTCCTTTATTTTGTTGGCCATATTAAAAATGGCCAAAGCCTAATGAAATAAATCCTCTATGTGTATTTAAACATGAGGGAGAATTATCAATTTTTGACTTAGAAACTACTAATTGAACTATTAAATTTTTTTGTCGCCAATGGAATGAGATTCTACTAGATAAATTTGTAATGTATCATCAATAAAATAATAAGCACAAGTTAACGATACGAATTTATTGTGATAATTAACAACATATTTCATCTATGATGTGTCAATCCTAAAAACAACAATTTAAATTCCACTTAAAATATTATTTTAAAAAAATTAATTAAATAAATATTAGTAATTTATTTTAATACATTATATTTTTATTTATTTAATGACTTTAATACATCTTTGAATGTCTTAACATAATTTTAAGATTTTTTAGTGAAATTAAATTTTTTATTTTATTTTTATTTTTTTCACTAGTAGTTCCTTGAACAAAATTAATTACTTTTTTTTAATATTATCCATGACAACATCACTAATTTACTTTGTAGCTGAAAGCACCATTATATATTTTATTTCTTTCTATTTGTATTGTATAATATTTGTAGTTAAAAAATATTCTTTAACTCACAAACATATTTTTCAAGAATAGCTTCACTTGAGTCACTTTCCATGATATTGACATGGACTCATCTAGTTATAGTGAAATCATCTATTAAAGAGTTAGGATTTGCATCCATCTGTGATGGATGAACTTGTCTTGTTAACCTCTCATCTTGAACACACCTATATTAAGCACAAACACTGTAATTATTAATACATGTTGAACACAGTGCCAGAGTCAGCACAGTTTCATGTCAACAACACTTATCAGGGTTTGAAACGGCGTTGTCTTCCAGCGACAGGCCACACCCACCATCACGAGACAATGCTGATGTTCGACGCACTCACACACCATGCTTGCTCATCCATGCGCGGAGTGTGGGGCCACCGACGGTGAAGCCGTCAACATGCGCAAACAAATCGACTGCAGTCTGCCAGGCCGCTTCGGAGGGATGGATGGTGTCGAATAGCACATGCTTGCTTGGATCCTCGCACAAAGTATACATCGGATGCCCCGCGGTGTCGTTATGGCCGCACACAAGTCCGTGAGGAACCGCTTTCCCAATGCAACACGGTGTCATCGTGTTCTCAAAACCTGCTTGTCAGAACCCACCAATACGTGTCAGGAATCATTTTAAGCTTGGAGCTATGGGAGGGGATTCAAACCGTGCGATTAATGTCCGTTGGGGTGTCGAATCGGTCAATACCATGTTCAGATCCGTGATGAAACAGAACCTCGAAGGCCTTGGTCTGGTCCACGAGGATGATGTGCAGTCCCCCGAGATTCCTGTTCAGCGTCTTCACTCGCTGTTGTAGCAGCGAGTTGTGGAGCGAAGTTTGGGTCAGGAGTGTGGCATTGCGGCTGCAAGAGGTGAACGTCGTTACTTCTGTGACAAACGGGGCGCATGCCATTAGGGCTAGGTTGGAGACGACGATATTCCGGACGCCGAGCCCGTAGAGACGCACTAGACTGAGTGCGATTCCATCCACTATGGTGGTTATTGTTGTATGGAGCTCTTGTTCTTTGTCATGCTCCTTTGGTCATAGGGGAATAGTGTCAGTTCTCTCTGTGTCGGATCTTGAAGAATCTGAAAGGTATCAGTGATCACCTCCTATGGAATGTTTGCAGCCATCAAGTGTGAGAAACTGACCTCGTGTGGATGTGTACCTGAAAGGCTCCCCGTCTGTTGCGCACGTGATAGTCGTTGACACCAATGTTAACCAATGCCACCGACTTCCGTAAGTGAGCTTTTGTCAGCACATGTTTCTCCACGAGTGCCTCTATCTCGTCTACTTGTGAGACTAACGCTGTAAGCCCGTATGCGTAAGTGACACCCGCCCCGCTTCTTGCGAAGTTTACACCTCGTAATGCCTCTGAATTGTTTTCTAGACGCAAGTAGGGGGTAGGGTATGGCAGGTCGAAGAGCTCCGCTGCCAACCACACAAATAACACAAAATATCGCAATGCAGGAGTTAGGTTTCTGTAAAGGCTACATGCATTTGCACTATACGGAGCAATTGCACTCTGGAGAGTCTGAATTTCTTTACCAATGCAGTCCGCTAGGTTTCGACCCTCATTGAATCGGCCCGCGGGGTATCCTGGCCATATGGAGCCATACGGCGGAAATGCCGACAGGTCTCTAAAGTTGCCTGTGTCGACATAGGAATCGCCGAATACGTACATTGCACTCGCTCCATCCACTCCGCCTGGTTGCACATGAAAGATTATTTTAACATATCATTGCCTCTGACCTCCATAAAACACAAGCTAAGCTGCCACCACCTATCCACTAACAACGACCATAGTTCCAGATCAAGTTGATGCAGACAAAATGCGCTGCATGCTTACTGATATTGGCGAGTCCAACCAGCATCGTTGCTGCGATTGTACCATAAGCAAGCGCTAAATTGACGTTTACACTAAACTTCGAATTTCTGAAGACCGCCGCCATCTCTGTCCACATTACAAGAGAATATCAAATCGAGAGTGAGAGACATTCGTGTCTCTGAATTCGTGGGGAGCTCTCTTCTGTTTCACGATTAGTGTATCTACAGTAAAGAGACGATTCCGCTCTGAACTGCGCAGTGATTGATCTATCTCCTCACTCGTTCAGCAAGCCACATTTCCGACAAACGAAAGCCCAAGACTTTCTCTGGGACAGCCGAGTCAACGTGGTCTTCTATGTGACCACATAGACAGTAGCTTTATGTTGGAACTGGCAACCACAACAATGAAAAGACGTAGAGGACGAGGTGTAATCCCTATTCCACAGCTCTGCCTCCCTGTGCGACCAAATCGTTGAGCCCTCAGTTTCGTTTCTAACCAGGAGTTCATAGACAGTCAGTCCGAACTTAATATTTCACAAAATTTCTTGAGAATCAAGGTTCACCTCTATTAACCTTAAAATGATAAGGACGTGCGAGCTTTGGCTCTCGTGGCACCAGCATGAACGATCACTAGAAAATGGAACTGCTGCAGGAGAAAGAAGACTGTGGACACCGCAACGCCCATCAAAGTAGCTCCATCTGACCACGATTGCTAAAGACACGATTGCGCATCTGGATTTTGCCAAACCCCAGTTTTGAATTCCCTTGGTCAAACAAGCGGGACAGGGCACATTTCCTCAACTCGTGATCTCACAATCCTCTGAGCGTAACTGCGTGCAGATCAGGTTCCGGCAGTTCATCGATTCTGACGTCACTGATCACACAAGCGACTCAAGAGCTGCAACCTTCGAGGTCTGCTGTAAAAGGCGCAAGTTTAAAGTTTTCTTGTCTATATTGTACCCATCATACTTTTAAGAAAATAATATACCTTGTCAGTTTTTTGTTGACTAAGAGAGGACGTTTGCCAAAGCAGGCTTTGTAAGGGCAATTATATTTTATTATATTTTATTTTTTTCATTTACGGAACATAAAGTGATGAACCCTTCGCTAAAGAATTTGTTTAAAATTATGGCTGAAGTTAGAAACCCAAAGCCTATGTTTCAGGGTTCTGGCATACTGTAGGAGACAATAGACTTTGGGGGAGACGAATTCCATGGATTGAATTGGCCTAACCTAAGATCCACATATTTGCAAATTTATTGGGATGTTTTGATTTTTTTTGAGGTTTTTTTAAACCATTTTCATAATTTTTTACCAACTACCTTTGCTGTAATTTATGAGTATCCCAAATCCTATGCCATACATATATTTTTTTTAATTAGTCCAGATTTTTGTTTGAAAATCATTAATTTTTTTGCTCCTAAATAGTCCAAAATCAAGCTCTTGCAATCAACAAATGACTTCCAATTAAATAAAATAATCAAAAAAAGACATATTTACTTATTTATTTATTTTCTCTCTATAAATACATTTTACAATATAATACAATTTTTTTCATGTCTAAATTTTTATTTCTTGGTAATTAGAAGACATAGATACAAAAATTCAAAAACCACATAAATATTATTTTTTCTATTAAATTAAAAAAATGATAATTATAATATGATTGAGTTAAAAATAAATAAATAAATTTTTTTATATAAATTAAATCAAAATAGTTCTATGTTTAAATTATCTTGACTTATTAGCAAAATTTAGAGATTCTTTTGATATTTCATAGATGCTTATATAGCCAAATAAGTATAAATGTCTATTTATATATATTTTTGATGATTTTATTATATAAATTTTTCTTATTTATCTAAAATGAAGTGAAATTCTTCTTTATTTTGTAATAAAGTTTTTTAGTTAAAAATACTTTAAATAGCCTAAAGATTCAATTTCATAAATAAGACTAGGTTAATCAAGATTAATAAGAAATTTTAATTAATTTGTAAATCTTACTTTTTAATTATTTTAAGATTTAAACATAAAGTAATAATATATAGAGTTATTTCTTAAAATACTTTGTAAGTGATTTGGAGTCTTAATAGATTTTTTTTTTAATTATGTATTGGAATATATTTTTATATCAATATATTTAATACATGCTTAATATTTTATTATAAAAAATATAAATAGAATTTTAAAGATAAAATAAGATTACCTATTATAAATATTTTATAATTTCACCAAATTTTTAAAAAGACTTTAAAATATAAAATTTTAATATCCAAATTGGATAATTTATTTTAAATTAGCATACAAATAGGTTGTTAAATAATTGATTGCTATCAAATAAGTTATTGAAGAATAGTTGATTATTACAACTAAATATCCTACATAATACAAAAAAATTCCAATAAGAGACTAATTCTAATTAAGAAGATATTGCCAACTAAAAAGAATTAGAAAATTATTGAATAAAAAATATTTGTTTAAATAATAAGTCTTTGTATATATTTAAGTTTATGTTATTGTCTACAGAAAGAATTTATAATTTGTTAATTTATATCCTTAAGAAAGATAATAATTGTATTAATTCTTAAGAAGATGGTATTGCTAAGTTAAGAATAAGTGATCAGTCAATTTGTGTTGTATTGAAGATAAGTCACTAATTAAATAAAAAATAACTTTGAAGTTGCAACATATAGCATTAGCAAGGTTGAACACAAAGAAGTATGGAATAAAATGTTTCTCACTTCCAACATCCATTACTTCTAGGTAGTGGTTGCTGTCCTAAAAGACAACTTCTACTCTTTCACTTTTATACAAATGGTCCTATGATTGTTTGACTTCTTATTTACTACAAGGATATCATATGCTAAATACTAATTTTTCTTATTTAGAATTTTGGATATTTTTTAATTAATATTTTATTCTTTTGACTTTCACTCTTGATTCTTAACTTCTTCTTATATCTATAGGATGTTCTTTCCATATAGCAAGAGCCAATCTTTTGACCATTAATAACTTAACTAAAATAATATCTTTTATAAAATAATTTATTTCATTTTTATTTTAACATATGCATTGTTAAGTTTGTCAAGAAGTGAACTTGTGCTATTTGAGAGTAACAATTAAATTAGATTTAATTAATATGTTGTTGCAACTTAAGTTTATCACATTCAACAAAGTTATGTTTGTATAATTAAATTGTAGTGAATATTAAATGATTCATATTTCTACTAGGCTGATTTTTACATAATACAATAATATCTTATTACTATTAAGGACAAGAACTCAATGAAAGTAAATAAACAAGTGAAACTCTTTCAAAGAAATATGAAAAAATAGAAATAGAGAAGTATGTATATTAAAAGAAAATCTAGAATGGCTATTATCAAAAAACAAGGAAACTAAAGACTCTTGAAATTAGATTAGAAATAAGAAAGGAGTTGACAAGGGCGAAGAAGACTTCACTTTTTCCTCTATATATACTCTCTACTTAAGTTCTATGTCGCAACGTTCTATAGGACCTCTAAAAACATGTTAACTTTGTATGATACATATCTTAACTTATAAGGCAAGTTTTCTATATGGGTGCTACATAATTAGATTATTCTACAAGCTACCAATACATGTAGCATATGGTTAAATTATTGACCAAGTTTCTAACCTATCAATCAACTACAAACGTATGTAAAGTCAAAATACCATCTAGGAAGCTTCTCTAGAAGGTAATATAAAACTAATGTATTTTTACCTATTTTTATTTACTTCTACTTATTCATATTATCTAGGTAATAATTATAGTAGATATATATTCATGAGAATAATAAAATAATATATGCTCACAATCTATCTCAATTTAAAAAAAATAAACATATTGCAAAGTTTCAAAATACATTAGCACAAATAAAAGCTCCAAATTCAAAGTCTTAGAAAGACAATTAAAGAAAATAAGGTCCTTAAAAAAGATGAATGAGATCATATTTATAATATAATTAAACAAATATAATAGTCAAAGTTTGGATGTATTTATATATATTAATATAATATATTAGTATTATTTTAATTATAACCTTTTATAAAATTATATAGTTTCAACTTTTGAAATTTTAACTTTTTTGAAATATCACCTTTATTATAAAAAGATACATGTTAAACATTTACACAATAGTAATAATAAAATATTTATAAAGAATTTTAGGATATCTCAATATAATGTGGCAATTCTTCAAAATAAAGTGTAATGGATATCTAGCTTATTAGATGTTAGTTTGTGATCTTCAATATTTTTTCTTAAGAATTGTAGGTCTTGAGTTGAAAGATATCAAATCATTTGAATTGATTATGATTAAAATAATAAGTAGACATATTACCTTTGTTATCTTATTATTTAATTTTTAATGATGTATTCATAGATGAAAGTATAAAAAAAACATATTAACATGCATAAGGACTTTCAAAATTTCAAAGAGCAGTAATTAAATGACAATGCTAAGAATATATTTGTTGCATTGTCATATTGTAACATGACAACGTGATGAAAATATAATAAAAAATAAATTTTTAATTGATATCTAATTATCTTGATTCAATAATAATTCAAGCTGTTTAAACATGGCTTTTATAAAAGCCTCTTAGTTTATTTTCTTATCTTAATAATTAGTAGATTAAAAGATAGTTGGTAATTTTACCTTCTAGGCTATAGAGACTCTTTTACTACCTTGGAAAGACCATAAATTGATAAAATCAAATTAGAAGAAATAAATAATTAGCATGATTGATACTAAGATTGAATTAAAGATAGAATTGGGCTAAAAAATCCCTAGGATAGGTTAAATTGATACATGGGGATTGACAGTTTGTGAAACAAGGTCAAAATCACACTTCTAGCACTAATACGATTATCTAGGAAAAAACAAGGAAAAATTTGAAGATCAGCAATTAGAATTGGAGAACTAGCTTAGAGCTTCTTTCAAAGACATAAGTCTTGTTTTTGTAGGATTTAGTTTGACTTTGGAATTATTGTTCAAAATCAAGGTTTGTAGTGGGGACTTGGAATTTATGCAATACAATTAAGGCTAATACTCTTAGCTAGTTTGTAAAATTGGTGTTACATCTATGGTTCAAAATTTGATGGTGCTTGATCACTTAGGTGCTAAATGTTTGTGAAATTTTGTGATAATCTAATAGTACAATTGAGAGATATTTGGATTTTGGTATGAGAAGGTATTAAAAATTGGCAGTTTAAGATTGAGTAGGGTTTCTATAATATTTGAAGATTTATTAATCAAATCAAAATAAAATTTGGCATAGTATTATAAGACTTGAAGATTAAGCTACAGACTAATTTTGAATTGAAGTTAATAGTTAAAGAAGGAGAAATCACTACTAAAATATTTGCATCATCTTTCAAGTTAGCTGCCAAATAATATTAGTGTTGTTTTTGGATATTTTCTCACAATTTGTAAGTTAGATTGAAGTGAATTCTTTCAAGCACATAAAAGACTTATAGTGGCATTTGTATGAATAGTTTTACTTTAAGTAGATGGTTAGATTAGGAGTTATAATTCACTAAAGCTCATTAATTAGGTTTAGACCTTACGAAAAAAAATCAAAATTATTTAATTATAAAAGTAATAAGGTAATTAGAATTTATATTTAGTTTATATTAAAAAGAGTATTTTTGAGTACTTTGAATTAAATTTAAGTACTTTGAATTAAAATTCAAATGACATTCTTCTTATAAAAGTGAAACATATAGGGATTCTTGGATACTTATAAAATACAATCTCATCTTCTACAGCCAGATGCCTGGTGCATTTCCAAATAAGACAAAACATAATATGAGAGTATATATACCACTAAAAG